TTTTTTTTTTTTTTTTTAGTGTTAAACCCTTAGGAGGTCCGGTTGTGGTGAAGTTATCAGTCTTCCTCTCCATCTCATTCTACTTTCTCATTCAGTAAATATTTCTTAGATTTCGTAACCCCAGTTTCTCAGAGCCAGGCACTGGACCAGATGCTGGCAGTACAGCAGTGAACAAAACCGAGGGAAGGACAGTGATAAATTACTATTGCCCACAACATGCCAAATAAGTAATTTCGTCTTGTGATGTGTAGTACGGAGGGAAAGTAAATAGTATGGAAAGAGCTCTAGTAATGATTTCCTAGTGGAGACCAGAGTCAGCCAATTAATTCACTCAAGAAGCCAATCTGGGTCGGTCTCCTTAAGTATTACCTAATAAGAAACCAAGTTTTAAAAAAACCCCAAGAAAGCATTAACCACAGAGCGTTCCTTGGCCTTTTTTTAGAATGTGTGCCCTATGTCTTTAAGTCAGCGGAACACTGTCTTTTCCAAAGCCTCATAGTCCTGCAGTACAGTTTTGTCCAGGCTTTCAGACTTTATTCTCCTGATTTGGCTCCGTGACCCACTGTCAATGTGTGCTCTTTAAACCTGCCTACCTAGTAGGTCAGAATTAGGCAGGAGCTGTTCATGCAGCAAATTTGGAAAACAGAAAGGAGTGTGTAAAATCGTGGGCAAGAGAAATTGTTTTTAACCATTGTGGTAATCTTAAAATAATACCTTGTTTTGAGGATTTTGCTGGGTGGCCTGAAGCTCTAAAAGTGCTGGTGAAAGTCCTTTGGGATTAGGGTTAGGGTTAGTCATTCTTTCAGTTTGAGATCCTGACTCATTTTTCTGTACTGTCTTTTCCTCATTAGAATGTAAGTTCTATGAGAGCAGAAGCCTTACCTACTTTATTCACTGTTCTTTCTCAGCACTTAAAACAGTGATTGGCATGTCTTTCAGACTGAAGATTTTTATTTTAAGCCATAATTTTTTAACATTGCAACAAAAACAAATACAGTGTGGTACTTTAATGTTTTATCTTAGATCAAAATCTAAACAGGCTGGTCCGAGTGCAGTGACATTTATAACTAATTGATCACAATCAGGTACAGTTTTCTTTGTTCCTTCTCTACTCCACTGCTTCACTTGACTAGCCTCTAAAAAAAGAAGCCAGGACCAGGCTCAGTGGCTCAGCCTGTAATCCCAGCACTTTGGAAGGCTGAGGTGAGAGGATTGCCTGAGCCCATGGGTTCAAAACCAGCCTGGGCAACTCATCTGTACAATAAATCAAAAAATTAGCCGGGTGTGGTGGTGCACACCTATTGTTCCAGCTACATGGAAGGCTGAGGCTGAAGGATCACCTGAGCCCAGCAGATCAAGGCTGCAGTGCACTCCAGACTGGTCGACAGAGTGAGACTCCAACTCAAAAAAAAAAGATGGAAATACATATAGGAGAGCCATAATGCTGCAAAATAAAGTCTTAAAATATTTGAGCACCTGATGTTGAGGAATTGCTCTTTGGATTTAAGCAAGGATATATGATTGGGTGATAGAACCAGCTGTCATCTCTGGCCATGAGTGTTACTGGTTCAGAGAAGGCAATCAGAACCTTCGTTCCTTCTATTGTGGAAATTATCTTTACCTAGAACTAAGTGGTAAAAGTAGAAGAAATTTAAAATAAGCTTAATCCGTCGAAGTTTCTTTTAAACAGTTCATTTTGTTTGCTTGTTTGGGGTTTGTTTTGTTTTGTTTTGTTTTGTTTTGTTATAGTTAGAGTCTCATTCTATCGCCCAGGCTGGAGTGCAGTGGCACACTCACGACCACCACAGCCTTGACCTGCTGGGTTCAGGTGATCCTTCCACCTCAACCTTCCAAGTAGCTGAAACTACAGGTATGCGCCATCATGCCCAGCTAATTTAGGTATAGATTAGGTCTTGCCATGTTGCCCACGCTGGTCTCAAACCCCTGGGCTCAGGCAATCCTCTCACCTCAGCCTCCCAAAGTGCTGGAATTAAAGGCGTGAACCACCACACCTGGCTTTAAACAGTTCATTTTAATACAATAAAACCGTAGTTCTAGATATGCTGAGGAATTGAGGATTTATTCAACGAAATATTTGCGTCATTTAAATGAAATTCTTTCTAAATTCCTGTGTGATTTATAGCTGCACTTTTAAAACACTGATCAGGCCTGGCACCATCGCTCATGCCTATAATTGCAGCACTTTGGGAGGCTGAGACAGGAGAATCACATGAGCTTCTCAGGAGTTCAAGACAAGCCTGGGCAACATAGGGAGACTTTGTCTCTACAAAAAAGACAAAAATGAGCCAGGTGTGGTGGTCCATGCCTATAGTCCCAGCTACTCAAGAGGCTGACGCAGAACGATCTCTTAAGCCCAGGAGGCCAAGGCTGCAGTAAGCCGGAATTTCCGCGTTGCACTCCAGCCTTGGCAACAGAGTGAGACCCTGTCTCAAAAAAATAAATTATAATTTTTTTCTTGACCTGTACTGTAAAAGTGTAGTGACATGAGATCAGATATAGTCATAGGTCAATGAAGAAAAAATTCTAATGTATTTTGATTTATAATTATTTGGTTTTAGTTATTTAATTTTGATTATTTAATTATTTTATTTTATTGTTTTGAGGCAGGGTCTTGCTCTGTCACCCAGACTGGAGTGCAGTGACACGATCATAGCTCTTGCAACCTCGACCTCCTGGGCTTGGGATTCCCCCACTGGGCCTCCTGAGTAGTTAGGACTACAGTTGCATGCCACTACACCCAGCTAATTTATTTTATTTTGTTGTAGACACAGGGTGGCCAAGACTGATCTCGAACTCTTAGCCTCAAGCAATCCTCCCATCTCAGCCTTTCAAAGAACTGGGATTACAGGTGTGAGCCACCAAGCCCAGCCTGATTATTTAATTTTTAGTGAAATAACTGAAGGATTGTCACAAGACTTCTTAGAAAGGCAGTACAATAACTGTCAGTTAGAAGATCACAATTGTGGTATTGTCTCTGCCATTTTCTAGTTCTGTGATCATGGGTAAGCTAATTAACTTGTCTTCTCATTTTAAAATAAGAAGAATGTGGAAAAGCTGTTTAAAAACTGTAAAGTACTAAGAAGGCTTAAGCCTGGGGGAAATTACAAGGCATTTCCATTGGAAAGGCTTATCTGAATACTTTGTACCTGACATCTTTTGGATTGGTAGTCAATATTGCTCAATGTTTGAGGCTTTGTGCTTATATCCAAAGTGCATTGATAGGAATCACTTTGTAGGCCATAGGTTATCAGCATTAAATTTGTCCCCAGAACACTCTTGTTTTCATTTACTACAATTCCTTATAAAACATTAGAGTTAGCGGTTTCTTTTGCCCATGCCACCTCTGGCATGTCTCCCTTTCCTTTTCTCTCTTCTTTCTCTAATAAACTTTGTTTGAAAATGTTAAAAAAAAAAATCAGAATAAATCTTTACCAGTTTAAGAAATGGAAGAATGAAAAGCATAGAGAAAAGCATGTTGGAACATGATTAGTAATGTAAGGCTAAGCAAATTGAGTGTCCCTGCTCCTATATTTTGATTGTATAAAAATTCAGTATCTTGAAATTGCTTTCAGAATTCTTCAGAGATATACCAGAAGACTCAAGGCTATAGTTTTTGAGAAAATTTCTGTGCTTAATGTTTTAAAGCACTTGACAACTAAGTTTATTTTCACACTTTTTAACAAGAATGCCTTCTATCTTTGTAGTTGGGAGCCAAGGGCAGTGACTCTGTCATTGTTGATTGAGAGCCTTGGAGACAAACTAGCATCTCATTTTTTTACCTTAGGCTGGACTCATATAATCCTCCTAAATCAGCCTCCTGCATAGCTGGGACTACAGGCACAGGCCACTGCACCCAGCCAGACCATCTTTTTAAAAATGAAAATTGCTTTCTAAAAGTGTTCTCTTTTATAATCTAGTATGTCCTTGACATTCAAAGTATTCTTCTCACTCAGCAGTTAATGACAGTGATAGAGATAGGCAGGTGGTGGCTACATGTTTTCAGAATCTGAACTGTGGTTAAGATATAAGGAAAGCTTTCTTCGGGGCCAGTTCAGAAGGTGCTTCAAGGTATCTGTGTTTCTTACTATTGCTTAGGTACTAGGAACAACCAAGCAGTCTAGAGCTACACAACAAAAAAATAAGACAGATTTTGAGTCCTGGCACTACATCTAGTAAGGGGGGAGGTGATAATGATAATGTCTCCTAATCTCTAGAAAAAACTAAGTACACAGTAATACTTATAAACCATAAAAGATCTGCATTTGGTAAATACTCTTATGGCTCCTTGAATTCTTTTAAATACT